CTCTTTCCTTGCTTGCATTATTTCCAATGACAGGTCTGATGTTAGCCTTATGGGATATCCTTTGTAAGTAACTTGGCATTTCTTTCTTGTCAATTTTAGTATCTTATCTCTATCTGTTGTTTTGGTCAATCTGGCTGTGATGTACCCCAGGGAAGATCTTCTTGGATTGATTCTATGTGGGGTCCTTTGTATTTCTTAGGTCAGGATATTTGAGTGTCTCTCTAGGTTTGGGAAGCTTTCTTCCAGGATTTCATGGAATAGATTTTCAGTGCCCTTATTAGTTTCTTCACCTTCTGAGATACTGATAATCTGGATTTCTAGGTGTTTAATGGTATCTAGTATTACTCATATGTTATTCATTCTCCCTCTCTCTCTCTCTGTCTGTCTGTCTTTTTGGTGATTTTTTCCAGGTCAGAGGTTTAATCTTCTACATCTGAGATTCTATCTTCTGCATGACCTAATCTTCTTTTGATATTTTCAACAAGTTTTCATTTCCTGTATTATAGCCTTCATCTCTAAGAATTCCTTTTGATTCTTTTTTATGTTCTGTAGTTTCTCTTTCAAAATGTGCAAGAACTTCCTCCCTCCTAGAACTTGGTGTCTCTTTCCTCCTGCATCTTCTGGAGTTTGTTGTGTCTATTCTCTTATATCTCTGTTAGCTTCATCACTATGAATAGTTAAAATTCTTTATCTGACATGTCCATGCCTTTGTATTCATTGTGGAGAAAGAGTTGTTCTTGTCTGTTAGAGATATATTTTCTTCATTTCTAATATTTTTTGTGCCACTGCAGTGGTTTCTGATGAATTGTATGTTTTTTCCTATTTTTTGGCATTAAGTCTGAGCAATCAGAGGAATGCAGAAGGAGGTGACCTGGAGTCTGACTCCTGTCTAGACTGGGGGGCAGGAAGGTGAAGTCTAGGCAGAGGATCCTCTGGTAGTCGAAATTCCTGAATGGGGCCACTTGGGACTCAAATATAGATTGCTGCTGATTGGCTTATCCTGAATCCTGGCTAGACTGAGGGGCAGGAGTGTGAAGTCTGGGCAGAGGGTCTTGGGTGGTCAAAATCCTGTTTAAGGTAAATTCCTAAAAGATGGACATATGCTATGCTTCCTACTTTAGAGTGTCTGTAAGTGGTGCTTGTCCATTACTGATTTTATGTTATCATAAGGACATATTTTGATGTATTGTTTGTACCCAATTTTAGACAGTATTTCACATGAATTTAACTGTAAAACAAAGTCATCCTTATCAGCAATACATGTTCGTGTAAAGCTTTCAGGTGTGTGCGTATGCATAGGCGGTCATGAGCATGAGAATGTATGCGTGTTCTTATAGCAGCTGGGACTGCAAGGTGCCGTTAGCTGGGGACATTAGTTTGATTGCCTCTTAAAAGATAATAATTCAGGTGCCAAACCCTGACTGCACCTGCGGACTGTCAGTGTGCACAGCTGTTAGCCGTATGCAGGAAGGCTCGGGTGGGAGTAGGCACTGAGAGCCAGGGCCCGTGGACCACTCTGACTCGCCATGCTGTAGTTCAGTCTGCACACTGCGCTCAGTCTGAGTAGCACTCCTACATACGTGTCTTATGTAGGAGTCAGTGACTAGCAGATGCCCTGCCTGCCTCTGAAAAGATTTGTCATCACAAGATCAGTTCTTGGCCAGCAGCAGCCTGACATAAACTCATGATGGGTGCAGTCAGCTGTTTGTTTACCTGGCTGAGGTGACATTTGGTGATGTTCTTGTCAGTATATTTTGAGTTTCTGAATTAAAATGAACCTGTTTGTTTAAATAATTTTGATTTGGTAAATACCCACAGTAAGTGGAAAAGACTGATAAAGTATGTGCCTGCTTTCTTAGTTTCTTTTCTTCTGTTTTAGCATTCTGTCTCTTTTCCCTGGGTGGGTGGTTGTTTTCAGGTCTTTTTCTAGCTAGTCTTTTTTTTTTTTTTTTTTTTTTGAGAGATTTTCGCTATAGGGCGCGTGCGCTCGCCAGACAGACAGAGAGAGACATAGAGACAGAAAGCGAGAAATCACCCCCCAGGGGGGATGGTCACGCCGCAATCCCTTCTCCTCCATTCTCCTCTCGGGATCTTGGGCACGTACGCACACGCGCCCGGCGTGAGTTTTAAGCCACCGGGTCCGGTACACGAACCGCGGTCGACTACGTGGGAATCCAGCGACATAGCCATTACGCTAACTGCTGGTTCCCTCTACCTAGTCTTTTGTTGTAAGTCTTATTTAAAACATTCAGTCTCCTTTTTATCTGGTTGTATGTATTTTTCTTTTTCCATTCTACTTTTCTCTCAGGAAAACAAACAGTCTTACCTACCTGGCTTTAGAACAGGAAATAAACTGTTTTAAAGCTGTATTAAGCTATTTCTTTAAGAAGAAATTCTTGTTAATGGTATAAACGGGAATATTTTAATTTCGATGAGTATAAATTACTTTTCAATTTATACGCTGAAATTAGTTTTTCTCTTTTGTTTTCTAAAATCCTTATGTAAATATTATGATACTGTATTTTTTACATTTGTGTTATATTGTTATTCTCATGGAAATTTCTGGAACAGTTCCAAAGAATTTCCTTAAAAGAGATTGTAGCACAGTGGGGCCGCTCGAACTAATGACTTACATGCTGTGTATTGTATCAAAAGAAAAAACATTTTCTTCTGTTCTAAACCGAAGAGAATTACAGCTTAGAGTTGTCATTATCTGCTATAGCTTGTTGATACATGCATCTGATCCAAAAGGTATAGAAGTTTTTCATGCATTCTTGTTTATCTTCATTCTCGTGGATCCAGGAGTTGCCCATCGTCAGAATCTCTCACTCTGACGCAGCTCCTCTGACTCTCCGTTCTCCCTCTGGTCATAGGTGGAGGAGTTGCTGATGGCCATGGAGAAGGTAAAGCAGGAACTGGAGTCCATGAAGGCCAAGCTGTCCTCCACGCAGCAGTCCCTGGCAGAGAAGGAAACCCACTTGACCAATCTTCGGGCAGAGAGAAGGAAACACTTAGAGGAAGTGCTGGAGATGAAGTAAGTGTATCTCGGGCCTACGCTTAGCGGAAGCCCTTGTCCTTGTTACTTTCATCTTGCGCCTCCATTCACTACCTCGAACATACCTAGCCTAATTTTAATGCTAACTCTCTAGGACAGATTTTGTCAGTCACGGGACAAATCTTGGTTAAATAGAATTGTTTTTGCCTCCTGACTATAGTATCTGTGTCTAATTGTCTTTGAAATCCTTACATCCTCTGGAAAGTCCAGACAAATTGGTGAACGTCCTGGGAAGAGGACTGTGGCTTTAGAGGCAATGATGGCTTGGCAGTTTCTGAGAGCACTTTCCATAATAACCATGCCCGTAGATGCACACACCTTTTCTCCATTACAGGGGAGCAGCTTGCCACATGGAAGGCAGTTTTTACAGTATTGTCACTTTGTTTGCTCTAGGGCATGTGCACTCACTAGAGACAGACAGAAAGCGAGAAGTCGCCCCGGGGGTGGCCACAGTGCAGTCCCTTCTCCTCCATCTCCTCGCGGTATGATGGGGGCACACACACACACACACACACACACACTCACACGCACACACTTCTGGTGTGATTTTTAAGACACCGAGTCTGGGACTCACACTGTGCAGCTAGCTGGCCATTTGGAGTCCAGCTGCCTTAACCTCCATGCTGCCTGCTGGTCCCCGGTTGTCAGTCTATGAAATTTTGCATAACTTTCCTACTTGCCCACATCTTGGGGATTCCTGATACTGTAATCTGTTGCAAAACGTGTTCACCTGCCAGTACATAACAGCTGTTTCCTTTCCTATTCTGTGACTTTTTCTCTAGAAAGGTCACATTTTGAGAGTCCTGCACTGCCTCATTTACTGTTGCCAGCCCTCACCCGTACTGAAAGGCCCGACCCCCATCTTCGGAAGCCAGGTCTAGCCTGGGATAGCTCAGTTATCTCTGTTACATGAGCAGTTCTCTGTACTTTTATCGTCTTCTCATGTGTCTCGGAGGAAATAGTCTGACCCCTTGGAAGGCCAGCTTCCTTCCTCTATCACGGATTATAAGCACGGGTCCCCTCCTCTGCAGTCTTCCTCTGCAATTTTCTCTCATAATTCTTTCTCACTTTGTTTCTTCCTTCTTTTCTCCATAACTGCACAATCTCTTTTTAGCCTGAAATTTCTGAGTCCAATTAGCACTCTAGCTGGCATCATCTCTTCTCTCCTGCAACTTTAAACTGTCAGTGAGTGTTGGCTACCTGAATCAGAGATGTGGAGAGACTTGCCCCACAGTCCTGGGTGTGGGTTTTCAGGGACTGGATCACTGTGATGCCGTGACAGCTGCCCAGGAGTTGCAGGAGCCTTGATGGGGCGTCATCCATGCTTCGCGGTCATCAGACCGTGGTGCCTAGCTCTTAGGAAAAGCGTTCTAGGTTGCTTATGCTTGGAAGTAAGAAGTGAGGTCAGAAATAGATGGATATACTGGGATACGAGGGAGAGCTCAGGGCTCTGAGTATCATCATGAGAAAAGTTTGCAGATCCGTTGCCGGGGACCAGCCTCGGCGGGGGTGGGTTGGTTCGACGGAGGCGACGCTGGAAGAAAAGAAAGACAAAGGCCTTGCGCTTTTTCATGCACGTCCTAAGCCGGACACTCCTCTAAGATCGCTCTCTGAGGAGTGACAACTGCTAGGAAATATCGTGCCTTTTTATTGAAAATGAGATACATGCAAATAAATGGGAGAGGGGCTACGTGACCTAATGATTAATTCATAAAGTTTTAACAATTGAATCAGAGATTCTATTCAAGTTTTAATTAAGGGCGGATCTATTAATCATTGATACAATTCGACAATAGATTGATGTAAGCAAGCTTTTGGAAACTTCTGTTCTGGGAGCGTGGTTTCGGAGAACAGCTTCAGCAGGTAGAGTTAATTATCAGCCAGTACTTGGCGGCAGTTGTCTTGCGGTTACTGGTTGCGTTGCTAGAAAAGAAAATCTCAAGTACAGATATTAGTTTTTATAAATCTCAATAAAGAATGATATTTATATAATTTTATAGAGATGTAAAATTAATTAAAGGAATCCTAATATATTTACCTATTCTGAA